CACCTGACTTCTCTGAGCCTAAGCTTCCTCATCTGAACGTGGTGGTAACCATCCCCACCTGGCAAGGCTGTGGCCCCATCAAATGAGATATCACATGAAAAGTATTAGCATAGGGCAGAGCCTGGCAGACTCAGGTTTAATGAAAAGGTAAGGCTCATTTTTATTATCGGCAGGTCTACTTGATATGAGTTATAGACAGGTTGACGAACAAGCTGAAATTAAATGCATTTTAAAGACAGATTGAAAAAAGATGAAGGCCAGAAAAGTGGAAAGGTCTGAGAAAATGTACAGCGTAGAAGCCCATTTCAATGTTTATCTATGGTCACCTGAGCTACCATGTGGGCAAGTGCTCTGTAAGCCTTGGTGCCCTAGGTTGCATCATTGCCCTGTGACTGTGCAGGTATAAGGCCTTGAGGACACAGATGTCCTCGTGCCACATGCTAGTTGGGGTTCTGATTCCATCTGCAAGTGGAGCTTGGTGACATAGAACACACATTAGTGGGGGAGATACAGGTCTGTGTAATCCTGGCAAGGGGTGGGATGGATCCTACAAAAAAGGTGATCAAGGGCCACTCAGGGCAATGGAGAAACCACTCACCACTGAGAAAGTCTTATGAGAGAAAACAGAAGACACAGGTGCTAGAACAAGCCTAAGACTTTAGCCAAGTCTCTTATCATCTTGGGCCTTGGTTTATTTATCCTTCTAGTGGGTCAAGCAATCCCTGCCCTGTCTTTCTCCCTGGCCTTAGAGGGGACCAACAGAACAATGGATGTGCAAGTGTTTTGTTTTGTTGTTGTTTTAAGATTTTATTTCTTTATTTGAGAGAGACAGAGCATGGGGTGTGTGGGCAGAGGGAGAGGGGGAAGCAGATGAAAGGTCACATAGCAAGTTAGTTGCCATGCTGAGACTGGAATTCCGGTTTTCTGATTCCCAATCCTGTGTCGTAGCTTTGAAACCGGCTCTGTGTGTAGGAAAAGACAGAGGGGCAGGGTGGGCTTTAAAGATACGATTTCATAGGTAAGAAGATCCTCTAATCTAATGATACCTCCCCTCCGCTGCCCAAAGGCACCTGAAATCTCACCTTATTCATAGGACTTCAAGAGTCTCAAGGTTGGGGACACCTGGGAAACTCAGTGGTTGAGCAGCTGCCCCACAGGGAGCCTGCTTCTCCCTCTGCCTCTCTCTGTGTGTCTCTCATGAATAAATGAACAAAATCTTAAAAAAAAAGTCTCAATGTTGGAGAAGTAACCTTGTGCCCCCCACTTCCGTAAACCCCCAAGGAAGGAGCTGCTGAGTATTGACAGTGGCGCTTCCTTAGATCAAAGTGACAGATCTGACTTCCTGTAGTTTCCTACCACGGGTCCCAACACTGCCCTCAATCGCACAGCCAGGTCCTCTGCCATGAGCAGCGATGTTGAGTAATCGAGGACAGCTCTTGTGTTCCTTTCCCCAGTGTGAGTTCCAGACTACCTCTCATTGCTGAGGGTTCTCCAGCTTTCTGTCTTTGCATTTCCTGAGCCCACCACTCTGTATGTTCTCCATTTGGTGTCGTCTCAGAAGTGTTCTCTAACACTGTGTCCAGTATGCGGGGGGCACCATCACTAGAGCAAGTCGTTTCCTTCATCTTTGATGCCATAGCTCCATCACTGCATCCTCAGAGCTCAATGATTTTTCTGCATCCCACCCATCAGTCTCCCACTTAATATTGTGCTAAGAAGCCACTAATTTGGACACCTGGGTGGCTCAGCGGTTGAGTATCTCCCTTTGGCAGGGGGTACGTCCTTGGGTACTGGGATCGAGTCCCACATCGGGCTCCCTGCATGGAACCTGCTTCTCCCTCTGCCTGTGTCTCTGCCTCTCTCTCTCTCTCTCTGTGTCTCTCATGAATAAATAAATATTTTTTTAAAAAAAGAAGCCACTAATTTATACACAGGCTTCCCTGAACCACTGCCTTGCCACGTCTCACACTCTGACCTCCTGTCCTTTCATTTAATGATTTAAGAGCAGGGCCTCACACTCCGTGCTGAAAAATTTCATCTTGTTAGATTTAGCCCTCAATTCTTAGCAGCCCAGATTTTTTTTTTCAGCCCAGATCTTTTTGGATCCTGGTTCTGTCTCTCCGGTGAATCTGTTATCCCTCCCAGCTTCCTGCCCCCAGTAAGGAGGTCCTTTGTACCTCCCTCCAAACCACGAAGGCCCTCACAATGTGGGGATGATCCCCTAGAATACATGAGCCCACCCTTCCACCATGTGAGGTCTATAGGGCATGGTGATATGAACATGCTCACCCCAGAACATTAGGTGACTAAAGTAGGGTACCATTAAATTCTAAAAGGCATAGTGAAAAGAAAAGAGATGATGGCAGAGAGATATGAATAGTGGTCTCTGTGTAATGGGGCTGTAGGTGGTTTTCCCCCAGCTTCGTTACACTCTTCATCCAACTCATATTTAATGAAGGCCTTATGTGTGTACTTTCATTTTTTTAAAAAAGATTTTATTTATTTATTCATGAGAGACAGAGAGAGAGAGAGAAGCTGAGACACAGGCAGAGGGAGAAGCAGGCCCCATGCAGGGAGCCTGTCGCGGGACTCGATCCCAGGTCTCCAGGACCACGCCCTGAGTTGAAGGTGGTGTCAAACCGCTGAGCCACCAGGGCTGCCCATGTGTGTATTTTCCATTTTCTTTTTCTATTTTTAAATTATTTTTATTATTTTTTTTACTGGAGTTCAATTTGCCAATATATAGCATAACACCCATTGCTCATCCCATCAAGTGCCCCCCTCAGTGCCCGTCACCCAGTCACCCCATTCCCCCCACCTCCCTTTCCACTACCCCTTGTTTGTTTCCCAGAGTTAGGAGTTTCTCATGTTCTGTCTCCCTCTCTGATATTTCCCACTCATTTTCTCCCCTTTCCCCTTTATTACCTTTCACTATTTTTTTATATTCCCTAAATGAATGAGACCATATAATGTTTGTCCTTCTGTATTTTCCATTTTCTATGCTATTTCTGTGTCATTTGGAAAACCAGGAAAAAATTAAGTGAAAATAAAATGAAAAAGAATAAAGACTCTTTCCCTGGGTAGACCTTGATGACTTCATCAGCAGTCTTAGGGAAAAGCATCCCACCCCTCCCTGCACTTAATTGTGCTGCCTTCCACCTGCATGTCCCCTTCTGGCCCACAGGACACAGTGGAATCTTGTCAGCCTCCTGCAGGAGCTCAGGGTAGTCTCTCCTCAACCTACAGGAACCTTGGGAAAGAAGCACCAAGACCATGGGGAAGGGGATTGCCTTGGTTTGCAGCCCAAAGTTGCAGCATTCCCTTCACACACCTGCCCAGGTGTTGGTCCATCTAGGGGAATGCATTTAAGGCAGTTTTCCTGCCAACAGCTGTTGTAAAAGGTGCCAAGAGAGCATAAAGGCCAGGTTTCCAGTGGGCACAAGATTCAGAAGGGCCTCCAGGTTGTAAGGAAAAAGGCGGGCCATTAAGCATCTGCCTTCAGCCCAGGTCATGATCCCAGGGTCCTGGGATGGAGTGAAGCTCCTGATTTGTCCCTCTCCCTCTGCCCTTGCCCCCCATTCGTGTTTTTTCTCTCTCTCTCAAATAAAATCTTTACAAAGGGGGGGGCAGCCAGAATGACCCATTTGAGCCACTTCCAGGACTTCCTGAAGGAGGCAGAGCTAGAGTGCCCTTTTGCCCTCCTCCCTGAAGGCCAAAGGAAGCCTAGAAGCGTCGAGGTCCTCCCCGCCTCGGGTGGGTGAGACACCTGAGGTTCCTTCGGGCTCAGTCCCGGGATTAGCGGCAAAACCCGGCCCTGGTTTACCCTCATCCGACCAGCAGAGGGCGCGCGCCACCCGCGAGAAGGAGGGTCCCGCCGCAAGCCCCCGCTGAGAGCACGCGCGGGGAACCGGCGGGGGGGGGGGGAGCAAAATCAGGAGGCAGATCTACAGAAGAGATAGCGTTGGAGATACGGGGGGGGGCGTTTTGTAAATGAAGGGGAGAGAAAGTCAAAGTGAGGGTAGGCTGGGGAGGGGCGGTGGGGAAGGAAAAGAACTGGAGACAGGAAAGGTTGAGATGGTGTGCAGAGGAGACCGGCTGGGATGGGGGGTGAGACGGGGTGGCGAGAAGGGACAGGTGGAAGGCAGAGTGAGGCAGGTTGGGGTGGACTGCCTGGGGTCCATCAGGTGGGGCCACTGCAGCAGGGAGGCCTCCCTCCCGGGGTGAGCCCACCCATCAGGGGCTCCTCTGCCCGCCCCCAGCACCCGAGCCTGCTTTGCCCTCATTCTCTTCCTGGTAAGGCCTTCCCGCTCAGGCCTGAGTTGGGCATCTTCACCCCCGCCTCCCCCGGAAAAAAGGTTCTGGTGCATCAAAGAACTCAGAGAGGAGGCAGTAGGGAGCTCCGGAGCTTTAATGGGTCTGGAAGGGAAGAGAAACACACCAGGCCATCCAGAGAGACGGACAGAGGCGGGAGGAAGGGGAGCCAGAAGCTACCCAGATGAGTCACAGGGGGCAGCGGCCCTCACCAAGCCCGGAGAAGCCCAGAGGTCAAGGACTGTGTGAGGCTTCCATCACTCCAGGACGGGGCAGCTCAGTGGGGGAAAGAAAAAATGAGAAAAGATCAGGAATTCGGAAAAGAGGGGTCCTAACGGAGAGGGCTTCCAGGAGCCAGGCACAAGACAGGTGGAGGGCAGGAAGAGACAGGGGAGGTCGGGGAACCCCGTCGGGGCTCTGGGGCCTAGAAGGTGGAGTTAAGGAAAGCGGGGAGGAGGCCACCGTCACTCTCCCCTGGGTGTTGAGGGTGATGCGGGGTGGGAGGAGGGGTGGGGGGTGCAGGGGCAAATCCAGTGCTGAAAGAAGACCGCGGAGGCTTCCTGCCCCTTCCCCGGGGCTGGGCGCGGGCGCGGCGAGGGAGTAATATCTGAGAGCAAAGGAACGGTGGGGGGGCTCCGGGCCCTTTCCCCGGGTGTGGACGGGACGGCGCGCGGCTCCGGGCGCCCCGTCTAGTGGTAGTGGCCCCCCAAGTGCGAGGCGGCGGCCACCGCCCCGAAGGGCCCGGGCGGGGGCTGCAAGCCCGGGCTGGGGTAGAGCGCGGCGGTGGCGGCGGCCGTGGCGGCGGGGCCCGGGCCCGGCCAGTAGGAGAAGCCGGCGGGCGCGACGCCGGCCGACGCGGCCATCAGGTTGAGTTTGGAGAGGCCGGGGAAGGGCAGCGGGGCCAGGCCGGCCGGCAGCTTGTAGAGCGCGCCGTCCTGGGCGGCGGCGGCGGCGGCGGCGGCGGCGGCCGCGGCGTGGGCGTGCGCGGGGGGCGGCTGGCAGGCCTGCGCCAGGCCCTGGAAGTCGAAGCGGTAGGCGTAGCGCTTGCCGTGCACCTTGCTCATGATGTTCTTGTCGTAGTAGTAGCGCAGCGCGCGGCTCAGCTTGTCGTAGTTCATGTTGGGCTTGCTCTTGCGCTCGCCCCAGCGCCGCGCCACCTCGTCGGGGTCCGTGAGCTTGAACTCGCCGTGGCCGCCCTCCCACGCGATGCAGCCGGCGTTGGCGCGGTCGGCCAGCAGCTCCAGCAGAAACTGCCACAGCTGGATCTGCCCGCTGCCTGTGGGGAGGGGGCGGTCAGCCACGGGCGGGGCGGGGCGGGGCGGGAAGGGGCGAGGCGGCGGGCCGGCCCCCGGGCGGGGGGAGAGGGCGCGTCGGGCGGCCGGCGGGGGAGGGGGCCGCTCCGCCCAGCGGCCCTGAGCCCGTCCCGGGCTTTTGCACCACGGAAACCGGGTTTGCCTCCTGGGAGGACGCAGCCCCGAGGGCTCCTGGCTTGGTGAGAATTGGGGAGGAGGCGGCGGCTGCGCGCACCAGGGCCCGCGGCTTTCAGGAGCCGGCGAGGGCCGGATATCGGGCCCCTACTGCCACCTGGGCCCTGCGCCCTTCTTCGGAGCAGAGGGGAGCCTGCACCGCCGGACGGGGTAGTCTGCGCAGGTGCCTCGACTGCCACATCCCAGGTGGACCATGTCTGCCAGTCCAGAGGGAAGAGGCAGGGGTGCAGCGGGACCACCGCCGCCGCTCGACCGGGTCTAGCGGTCAAAGGCCTACGGTTGGACTGGCGCCGCCTGAGGTGGAGAAGAGGTGGAGGCTGGCTTTTTGGAGGTACTAGTCAGACAGGAATGGGGGGCAGTGACCTCCAAAGCCTGCGAGGAATGTCAGACTCTGAAGGCTCCCCACCCTCGCCAGGGTCCGGGGTGCAGAGCGCTGCGCTGGCGCTCACTCGCGTTCAGCCCCGTTTTTCGAAATAGGCGGGATTCTCGGCTTGGGAAGGTGTCATACTTTGGGGTGTGATGCACAGCTCTGAGGAGAGGACATAGGACCGGGAAGTGGGAAATCGCTGTGCTTGGCTCCCTGCCTCCTTCCATCTTTGGCCATCTCTGGGCTCTTCGGGCTGCATTCGGGATGGCTGGTAGCAGCAAGTAGGATTTTCCCGGCTATGCAGGTGATGAGAGAGAGGGCTGCCAAAGAATTCTCATGCCCCTACTTTCAAGCTCAATCAGACAAGGGAAGAAAAATCTTGGTACAATTATTTCCTCTCTTTAAGGGGAGGGCAAAAAAAAAGATTTTTCCTTGAAATAATCTGATTATTAAAAAAATAATAATCTGATTATCGGTTTAAATCAGGCCTGATGGAGCCTCTCCTTTCTCAACCACTGGCTCTGAATCCAGACGCTGCCCTTTACCATCATTTCAACCCCAATCCCTCCACACCAGCTCAGCAAAAAGCTGCCTGACTCCAGGTCAGGAGCTTTAGGGTCAGGAACAAAGGAAGGTTTGGGTTAAAATGTGCAGCTGGCACCGCCGCAGACCCACATCAGAGGCTTGGAAACCCATTTTTGTTGGGAGTCATGTCCCCTTCTGGATAAAGCAGTTGCCAACCTTGTCTTTGAGGTTACTGTAACTTGGTGAGATCTAGGATACTGACTGGTGGGGCGGTAGGGGCTGCAGGGAGGCTTTGCCTGGAGGGCCAGCCAGGTTCTGAGACCAGCAAGGCAAAGCAGAGAGTAATTTAGCAACTTGCAGAGCCCGGTGGGGGAACCTGAGAATCAACAGCAATGGCCCAGCCAACTTGACTCCCAGAGCCCTGCGGGCCTGAGCCAGTGAGGCAGGTAGGTAGGTGCTCACCCGGTTCGGGTGGTGAGAAGGACTGGAGTGGCCAGGGAGTAATCATCTGGGTCCCCTTGCCCAGAGGTGCTCGGCTTTGTGCTCCTGCTACCAAGAGGGAAAGGACACCAAGCATCTGGGTCCTGGCCTGGAAGGGGATAAGGACCAAGGGCCAGGATCCTCTCCCTCCGCCCGGGGCCTGCTGGTCCAGCTCTGGGACTGGGAATCTGCTGGAGCCAAAGGCCAAGTGAATGCCTCCTCCCCTCAGCCTCTGACAGCCATGCCTAGACCCTTCCTTTCCAGGGCCGTGCAGTGCACATCCCTTCCACCCTCTGTTCGGCCCCTCCTTCTGGGGTGGGTGCCCCAGCCTTCTCCCGCGCCCGCGGGACAACTCACCTTTCTGCACCGCCGGGCTCAGCGGCCCCCACCCCGGGCTCTTCCCTTCCTTGAAGAGACCGTCTCCGACGGGATCTGTAAGATGCAGCAGGAGAAAACACTCAGGACCCGAGCGGAGGTTGTGGGCTTGACCGAAAGGGCTCCGGGCCAAGCCTCGGGGGCGGAGGGGTTGGGGGTTGGTTCCTGGGTGCGAGGCTGGGGGCTTGAGCCGCCGGCTCCTCCTCCGCGAGCCTGGCCCGGGCGCGCGCCGCGCGGAGCCCCTCCAGAACGCCCAAGTCAGGAAACGCGTCCAGGAAAAAGGAAATCCGCTTTCCGAACGGGCCGGCGGGAGCCTTATAAAGCCGAGCAGGGAGTGCGCCGGCGGAGCGGGAGCGCCCGGAGCCCATCGCAGAAGACAGGAGGGCGCCTGGAAGGCTGGGCTGGTGGGAACGCTCGGAGCACCGAGGTGAGGAGCCACGAGGGCGCAGGGGCGACGCTCAGCTGACCACAGCCTCCCGACGCTGAACGCACACGGAGTCGGTCCCCGGCCACACCGAAGACCCCTGCTCCCCCTACCAGGCTCTCCAAGCCCCTCGGCTCGCGCCCTCGGCCTCCCAGGTTCCCAGTCTGCTCACTTGGAGTCCTTAGACCTCACACTAAAACCCCAAAGCTCTCCATCTGCCTTTAAGGTCCCCCGATGCCCTAGATTGCTCAGTCCTCCCGGCAATCCTAGTCTCTGGACCACGTCCGGTTCCCTTGGACCCCAGTAACCCCTTCCCATGCCCGAACCCAAACTTCCGGCCCCGGGTCCTGGTGCCTCCAGCCCCCGGCTGGTCCCTGGTACCTGGCAGGTACATGTTGATCAGCAGGGGCTGGGAGGCGCCGCTCTGTCTCATCGCCGCCAGGGACTGGGTGGTGGGAGGTGTGTGTGGGGGGGTGATGAGAGAGGGGGGACGCGTCAGGCTTTGCGCTCCGGGGCACCGATCCCCGCCCGAGGCAACCGCGGGTGACAAGGAAAAGAAGACGGCGCGGGTCCGGCAGGGCCTGGCGGGAGGGGGCTGCCCGGGTGTGGCGGGGGATGGAGGGGGTCCTGGAGCGGTGCTCCCAGCTACCAGGCTGCCTGGAACCCTCCGGCCCCCCGCGCGGGCAGGGGCCGCAATTTCCGTTTTAATTAAAGCGCTGCTGCCTCGGCCCCCGGGACCCCGCCCCCGCCCCTCTTATCGCCCCATCGCAATAAAGTCTCCAACGCGCCGCGCCGCAGCCAAGCGCACCCAGCAGCCCCCAGCGCCCCGCAACCCGGGAGACGCGCGGGGGATGGGCCTGGGCCTCCCGCTCTGATAGGGGTCGGGAGCGCATTGCTTTTCCGCCTCCGTGACTCTCAGCAAACAGCGACAGGGCAGGGTACCCGGCCCCACCTCGGACCCCCCGGGCCACAGCCCCTCCTTTCGCCCATTCCCGCCCCCATCACGGCTCCACTCTCCTCCCCCTTCCTCCCCCCACCCCCACCCGGTTTCCCGTCTCCAGGCTGCGTTATCTGCATCTTCACTTTTAAATTTCCGCTTCCCTCCCTCTCGCCTGTCGCTCCGCTCCCGGCCGGGCAGCAGTTGCTCCCTTTATCACCGCCCCCTCCTCCTCCCTGCGCCTTCTCCCTCCTCCTCCTCTCTCGCTCTCTGCTCTTCCCTAGAGACCCGATCTCCTTCCCTGTCTCCCTCTTGCTTTGGCCTGTTTCTTGCCTTTCCAGGGCTTCCAGGCCTCTGGGCCTGCGCCAGGTTGTCCCCCTACAACTTCTAGCGGGTTTGCCCCTCCTCCTTCTTTCTAGATCTTTCTTCCTCTTCTAGTCTGTTCAATGCCACCCCCCCCTTCCTGTCTCTATTCTCTCTCTCTCTGTCTTCTCTCCTTCTCCTCCATTTTTCCTTCATCTGTTCCTAATCTGTGGCATACAATAGGCTCATGAGCCCCCTTCCTATTCCCCCCAAAAGTATTCCTCTTCCATCCTTCCCACCCTCTGTCATCCCAGCCTACCACCCACCCTCTCAACTACTCCCATCCTGGTTATCCCTGAACCAGACTGCATTTGGCACCTCGCTCTAGCAGGAGTAGAAGGGTTGAAACAGGGTTGTGTACTGTATAAGGCAGCCAACCCAGGGAGGGTGTGGAGACTGAAATCCCTTCCAAAGACACTGATTGTGTATTAGCAAAGCTGATGTGGTTCCCAGGTGGCCTGGAGTCTCTGAGTACCTGTGGGGCTTCCTGGCTCAAGAGAGGCTAGCTAAGGAGGGATGCTAGCTGAAGATGAGGCTCTGAGCTTAGGAGCCTACCTGCAGCACCTGGTGGCTACTGTCAGAATTGGTAATCTCAAGGCCTTTCTCTCCCACTGCCTGTACCCCAGGAGATGAGGTGGCCTGGACTCCAGGGCACACAGATTGGAGGGAGCAAGATTCCTGCAGGATCCACAATTCTGGGGTACCCAACTGAGGATGACTGGAAAGTCCAACTTGGCAGATTCCACAAGGCCCCCGTTCATTCCTCATTTGCTGTAACTGCTAGAGTGTTCATCTTTGCTGATGGAGGGTGCAAAAGTCAGAAGTAACAAAGGTGAGGGAGGCAGAGTCTGGGGGGGAACTGGGGGATCCTGGGGTCCCAGGATCCTAAAGGAAGATGTCAATGAGGAATCTGGGGAGAGCAAAGATGAGGGATTAGGATGCTCCCTGGGGACCAAACCCAGGGCATCACAGGAGGGGAGGACCTTGGGGATGGCATTGAGGTCTCAATCTCTTTCCTTCATGCCTTCTTATTTCTTTCTCAGGTAGAAAATGAGGAGCAGGAGGTCAGAGCTGAGAGAGTGGGGAGGCAGTGGGGTTCATGCCATGCTGTCAGCAGAAGGCTGAGACAGACAGAAGGGAGAGGTGCTCAGAGTTGGGAGTCTCTCCAGATATCCCAGCTCCAGACTAGTGTGGGATGAACAGCTCAGACTGTGTATCTCTGCTTCACTGAGGACTCAGGTGCTGAAGGGGTAAGTGAACTCTAGAAAGAGCTGGAAAGAGTTTGGGAAATGCTCCCCACATCCTACTGCCCCTTGATCTTGGCTGTGCCCAAAGGAAATGACCTCCTTCATCCCCTTTGGCCTTGGCTGAGTACAGCCAATGATTGGGTGGCAGGCAGTTTCTCCTCCACCCTCCTAACACCTGGCTGGGTGCTAGTCCCACAGGGTTCTGCTGACCATCAACCTGCCTAGAATGGGAGGAGATTGGAAAGGTGAAAATGCTCAGTCTCAGCCTGGCCTTGGCAACCCTTACTGCTTAGGTGTCAGTGTGGGGAATAGAGTTGGACCCCCAGGTCCCAGGTCCAGGAAGACCTAGAAGGTTCTTATTGACAAAGGCTGCAGTAAATATTAGCTCTCTCAACTCCCTAGTTATCCAGATGAGGACACTAAGACCTAGAGACAGGGAGTATCCTATTCAAGTTCCCACTGCCAGTTCCTGCATCTTTCTGACTCTTCCCAGCAGCCACAGACTCTCCTTGACTCTTTTGGGGACCACAGGGACTTGGGGCTATGCTGAGGCCTGAGCCTTTTAGCCACAGCTCAGGTAAGCCTCCCCTGAACAGCCTGGATTTAGGGTCAGGAGCCCTGTGTTCAAGTCCTGGCTTCATCACCAATAAAGTGGATGACCTTATCAAGGCTTATCTTTCTCAGACAGCCCAGTTCCTTTCTTCATTGATGAGATGGATGAAATATGGTAGGTATTAGGAGAACCAAATGCAACAGGGGTGTGGACTCTAGAACCTAACAAGGTGGAAAGCAGGATTCATACCCTACCCAGAATTCTGTCCCTTGTTCCTCCAATACTACCCCGGGATCCATAGATGGGAGAGGGCAGTGCAGGGGAATGAGGACCTTACTTTGACTGCCCCAGTGCTTTTCCATAACACCACAAGCATTTTCAGTGGTTTCTCCTGGAATCCTCACAACCCTGGGGTTGTGACAACCCTGGGGTTGTGGACAAGACAGGGATCAGTAGCCTTACCTTGCAAATGAGGCAAGGTAGGCTTAAGGATGTTATATATGACTGGGTCCCAGGTGTTCTGACTTCTGGTCTGGGGCTCTTCCCAAGGGAGCAGATGCCTGACTTTGCACAAGTGGGCCCTTGGGAATGGCTCAGGGCCATGTCTGACTGTTCTCCAATATTGCCCTACCTCCTTTGGGCTTGGGCGATGATCTGGGCCGGTCCTCCCCATTGATAGTCTCACTGGGGGCTTAAGAACACAAGCATCCTTGAATGACAGAATGGGGAGTCTCAAGGCTCTTGAAGGCCCTGCATATGTGGGATTGAGAGTATCATTAGCTGGGCCAAAGAGGGAACAAGGTAGAAACTGCATTGTGCCAGGGGCTCTGGTAGCTGCTATGACTCAGCCCCAGCATGGCTGTAGGTTTCTGCCACCTGCCCCAGAACACAGGCTCACTGTGGCTGGTGGCTGAGGGGTGGCCTCTCCAGATCACTAATCCTCTGAAGAGAGAGGCGGGAGAGGGGAGAGGAAAAAGGAGAGAGGGTTCTTTGGAACAGCTGAGATGAGGGGTATGAAAGTGCTTTGTCAATCCTGGAGTTCAATATCATGAAAGGATTGTTATTATCCAAAGGGTCTGGTGGCTCAACTCAGAGAAAATTTCCCCTTTAGAAGGCCCTGGGAGGCAGTGGGACTTCCCACTCATTTCTCCTCTTACAGCTTGCTTCTTTATAAGACAGAGATTCCATAAGGCTGGAGAAAGGGTGCAGGCTTTGCTCAGTTGGATAGAGAGCCACGGTGAAGATAAAGGCTAGAAATGCCCTGGGGGTTAGGGAGAAACCCAAATGAGTGCTGCACAGAGTTAAGGAGGTCCTGCTGTGTATGGTGGTACCAGGCCCAGGTGGTTGAAATTCAGCTATGAGCCCCGCTGTAGAACTGTGTGCACTCAAACCAGAGGATGGCAAATGCGCCATGTGTACCGTGGTACACCAGGCCCAAGCTGATGGGCCTTTACCAAGGAGAAGTGTGGAACTGGTTGTATTTAATAGGATCCCCAAGGTCCTTATCAGCAGTTTTCTCAGCTCTATTAGGGTCTAGCCACATACATACTAAGGCAGTTTATGCTCCAGTCAAGAATCTGAAAGCCTGGGGGGAGGGCTTGTGGCAGGGAAGGATTAGGATGAAGATCACAGAGCAAAACACCAAGAAAGAGACAAGAGGGACAGCCAGGTTCAGGAGATTTTATTGAGGGTCCTCAGGGGAGGTGTCAAGCTGTGGAGTTTAATGCTGGACTCTTCGAATGGACTGCAGCAGTCCGGTGTGGGCCTGGGTGCCAAATTCGCTGTAGGTATGGAACTCCCCACTGTGCCGGTCCCGCTCCAATACATACTGGTAGCCCCGGTAGCCTGGGTACTGGTAGGCCACCCACCTAGGCCAGTGAGAGCACAAGGGTGGTAAGCAGCTCTGCCCCTACTCCCACCAATGTCTCCCGTTAGTAGCCTTCCTTTCTCAGCCTCAGCTCTAAAACTATTGCTTCAATTTTCCCTACATGGGTCTCTCCCTGCCTGGTCCTCCCCTTGTTCCCTATTCCCACCCTCCATTGCCTCCTCATCCATCTTTTAAAACATCCCTTCCTTGGGATGGCTCAGAGGTTGAGCATCTGCCTTTGACTCAGGGCCTGAGCAGGCTCCCTGTGGGGAGCCTGCTTCTCCTTCTGCCAGTGTCTCTGCCTCTCTCTGTGTGTCTCTCATGAATGAATAAATAAAAAATCTTTTTAAAAAATCCCTTCCTCTATCCCCACATTGGCTCCCTGACTCTTACTCTATTACCTGCCTCCCCACAGTCTGTCTCCATCATCTCACTTCCCCCTGCCTCCCAGCCCCCGACATCCTTTTACCCTATCTCTTAGCACCCCATCACCTTTCCCAACCCCCTTCCCTGGTGCCCATTGCCTCCCTTCTTTTCTTATCTCCTTTGTTTCAGTCCCAGGACTCACGCTCCAGAGCTGACTTTGAGAGAACCCACATCCTTGCTGGCCCAGCCCATGGAAGGCAGAGATGGGTAGTCATCGCTGAGTTCAAACTTGCTGCCCTGGAAGTTCTCCCCCTCAAACAGTGTCACACGGCTGTCACTGTGATTCTGAGGCACAGGAAGGTGGGGGTGGACAGGTCAGGCCCTCCACAGAGGTATTAGTGAGTATATTCTCAGCCCCACTTTTCCCACCTTGCCTCCCAACACAGCTGTGCAGACACCCTGGCTTCACAAACATTCTCAGAGATCACTCCGTCAGGTCCATAGCAGTCTGGGAAGCTGGGGTACTTAGAAGTTCCCAGCCTAGTTCCTTCTATGGCTTTGGGTTGAGGTGGTGAGACTGAGGGTGTCCCAGAGTCCCTTCTAGGTCAGGGCTAGAGGGCATATTGTAATATGGACATATTTCAGAAGGAAAATCAGAGATCCTGAGAGAAATTTAGCCCATTAACCAAGAAACAGTTTTCCTAAAAGCCTCATTGACTATTCAATCCCCTGCCCAGCACCTTGGATACAGCCTCTCACAGCTGGGTAGGGCCCAGCTGCGGGGTGCCAGATGGCAGAGTCAGAACAGACAGGCCAGGGCATCAATGTTAGTTGGGTCTTGCCTTGCATAGTCCTAGGCCCTTCTCCTCCTGGAATGGAGAGCTAGGCTGAGTCAGCATTTGCTCTTTGCATTCGACCTCTAGCCTAGCTTCTCTATTCCAGGAGGGGAAGGGCCTAGGACTATGCAAGGCAAGTCAGTACAAGTGAGAAGTGAGATTCTCCCCTCCAGTGACTCGTTTGATTCACTACCAACCCTTACCCCACATACATACACAGAGACTGAGCTCTTTTCACCAAGGATCCCTGGATTGAGTTCTAGTCTCATCTTTGTGTTAATGCTCGTGTCCCGGGACAAGACACTTTGCCCTTCTGAGCCCCACTTCCACACTTGTATATGAGGCTAACAGCAGCCACCCCAGCCCTACAGGACAGTGTGATGACAGTGGCACTCTTTCACAGGTGTGGAGGACACGAGGTGAGGAACCTGTAGGTGCTAAGCACGGATGGGGCTCGGTGCTATCCATGGTGCTGATTTTGGGGGGGTTGGCACCTGACTATAGGCTCACAGTCCGAACTTTCCGAGATTCGTTTGGTCTGGGAAGTAATGCCATTACTGCTCATCTAGGAATTGTATTTACACATCCCCATATGGTGACTGGACAGCCTTTCTGAGGTGCCATGGTGGAGGCAGGGCCTGGAGCTGGGAGCTAGGAGGCAGAGGGGCAAGGGGAAGCTGTGCTTACCGCGCAGAGCACTGGCCGGAAGGAGAGCAGCTGGTCACTGTGGTGGCCGCCACTGCCGCTCCAGGCGCTCCAGCGAGGATAGTCCCCCTTCTCCAGAATGAACTGCTGTCCCTGGAAGTCGGGGTACTCAAAGGCCACCCAACTGGGGAAAGATAAAGGAAGCTGGGAGGTATCTGCCCCAGTCCCACTCCTTCCTCCTCACCCCCACCCTCACTGTGTCCTAAAAGACTGAGAAAACAATCTTTTTCTCCAACCCCAGGCTCTTACCGTGACATACACAGCGCATGGCAATATGGCCCCTCTAGAAGCTAAAGACTAAACCACCTGCTATTTGGAGTTTGAGGGATCCAGGCTTCCTGCTTAGGCTCCCCAGGTTGGAAGGAATTTTCTGATCTTCTGACTATCACCTAACCAAGGGTTCCTACCTCAAGCACTTAGGTGCCTGCAAAGGTAAGTGTAGGAACCCCCCAACCTGCAGCAGCAACCTGTGATAGCAACAACCTCCAATAGTCGGGGCCCCAGGCTCTCAGAGACCAGGGTGAAGGGAGAGGGAGTTGGTTTCTTTTGTTATACCAAGCGCAGAGCCATTTAACTTTGCACAGAGAAAAACTCTGGGGAGGAAATTACACTGGGAATCCCTTCAGGGTTCAGGCTGGTCTCACCGGTGCCCGCAAAGGGTCGCCTCTCGCCTTTATCCCTTTAGGATTTGTCTTGCGCACGGGAGTTCTGGGGAGACCAAAGGGTTCCCCATGTGGGTCGGTGTCTCTCGGGCAGGGCAAAGGTCTGGGGAACGGAGGTCCGAGAGCTGAGGTCCCAGGCTTGGAGTTTAGACCCGGGGAGCCCGGCGCCCCCAACCCAGCCCCGCCGCGCCTGGCGCATCACTCACGCTCCATTTTCCACCTTGACAGAGCGCACCCTGCGGAGGCCTCCGCGCTCGGCGATGTTCGCGCAGTCGCTCAGCAGCCGGCAGCGGCGGCCCTGGAAGTCCTCCTCGTCCCAGAGCGTGAGGCTGGCGGGCGCCGGACCTGGCGCGGGGGCGCTGCTCATGCCGCTGCGGGCGAGAAGGGCGGGACCAAAGAAAGGTTCAGCGTCGGGCCGGCCCCCTCCCGGGCCCAGGCGCGCCCAAGGCGGGTAGAGGGAGGCGAGGAGCGCGGGGCTCCACCCGGGCTGCGGGCTGCCAGCGGCTGTCCCTCGCCTCGCCCTCCCCCGCCCCGGGGAGACCCCGCCCCAGCCCCGAGTATTCACCCGGTGGGGTGAGCGCTGTGCTGTCGGAAAACCCAGAGGCTGCGCGCAGGCTGGGCGCGCGCGGGGCTTTATACCGGGCCTCGCCCCCCTCCGCGCATTCTTCCCGCTGGGGTGGGGGCGCTGAGTCAGCGGGCAGGCCGCGGTCAGTTCTGGTGTCCCCTGGGGAGCCCAGGCCTTTCCGGCAGCCGCCAATCTGGCCCCAGCCCTCGGGGATCACAATAGAAACTGCTGAGGCCCATGTCCCGCGCCCGCCGCAGCTGAGGCTGACTCCGCTTTTTCTTTTTTGGGGGGCCTGAGCGGGGCAAGGCGTACCCGGCCTCCGGGCCAGAACGCGCCCTCCCTGGCCCAGACCCTTAGTGATGGAGGTACCAGGTCACTCTGGGGCCACCTGGCTACGATCGCGAATTCTTGAGGCTCTCGAGAAATCTTGCCAACGCCTACCCTCCACCTCTTCCTCAGGCCTAGGGCGAGGCGGCTCCCGACGCTGGCCGGGAGGGTAGACACAGCTCTCCGCCAACGGTTTTCCTCCCGCCCTCCGTCCTCTTTGCCCCGGAGCGCTGGCCGGTGGTGGCTCCTATGCTCCCGAGCTTGAGTTCCCGGACCCAGCTCGGCGCTCCGCGCTCCGGAGTTTTCGTGCGCGGAGGGGCCAAGGAGGAGGCAATGACCAGGACTCGCCGCGACGCGGCGCTGAGCTCAGGAAACGTAAACCGCCCAAGGGAGGGCTCGGATTTACGAAGCGCTTAGAAATAATAGTAATTAAAGGAATGGCTCACTGTGGTAGGTAGAATGGTTCAACCTCAGCGTTACGCTCCCAGTGGCCAGACAGAGCTCCAGGGTCTGGGGACTCTGGTGGGAACGAAAGGTCCTAGGCTCTGGCCCTCAATCCCAGGGCCCTGTGTGGCAGGGAGAAGGAGGGAGAGTGGGAGGGGGAGAGGAGGAGGAGGAAAGGCTTGGGGCCTCCAAGGGAGGTCATTTTCTCCCAATTTACAGCCGAATTTCCTAACCATCATAGTTGTCAATAAGGCATAAAGACTTCTGGCAAAATTGTGAGCTTTCCTTAATGGAGAGGGTATTCCAGCAGAAGCCGAGGAGAGAGTGAGAAGGGAACTGCTATTTTGTTGTTCACATCAGTCCATGGCTTTCTTTATAAACTCAACAAGAGTCCAGTGAGGTAGGCTTGGACATGCAGACCTGGAAACTGAGGCACCAGGGGGCACAGGGCCTCCTCCACATTCACACAGCCAGGGTCAAAGCAAGATTAGAACTTAAACCCTTTGACTCCAAAGCCAGTGCTCTTACCACTCCACATCCTCTGACTAAAAGTTAGGCTTGTAGAGGCCAGATGCTGCGGCCTCAGCTCCTGGCAACCTGCCATGTTGACCGGCCGTCCTTTCTGGCCAGTCAAGCTCATTCCCACCTCGGAGCCTCCCCTTACCTGGATGGAGTGTTTTAGTCTCAAGGTCTTGGCAAGCTGGTTCCTTTGTTACCTCCTGGGTGATGCTGTTCCTGGCATTTACTGTTCATCGCATCACCCTGTTTTCTTTATAGTGTCTATCACTCTGTAAAGTTGTCTTAATCTTTTGCTCAAGAGTGTTTGTGGGTGCACTGAGTATCTCTCTTACTAGAATGTAAGCTCCATTTAAGGGGGGCAGGGGCCGTGTTGGTCCTGTTCTTTGTTATCCTCAAACCCAGCACAGTACTGGGCACAGAGTAGGTGCTCAATAAAACCTGAGTGAGGGAACAGGTGGTCAGGCTGTGTCAAATGTCCAGGGGGAAGGGGTGTAGAGGAAATTCCCCAGTGAGAGAGCAAGGGCAATGGTTTGCCCACTCTACCAAGCCCCTGCCCACCCCCTGGCTCCAAAATTCTGGACTGCTGAGAACAGGTGTTGGGAGACACTGGAGCCTCCCTTAGGTCTCTCTTTTCACTCGTGAGGAACTGCTATTGAAAATCCTAAGGTGTGTGAAGGTGAATGCCAAGAGTAAAGTACCCTAAAACACGAGGAGTAAAGTCCATGTTAGGAAGGTTTGAATCACAGCAAGGACGACCAGAGCCGGGCTTGAGTGAAGATGGGGTCAGAGCACGCCCAGTGCCCTGATTCCCTGCCCGAGAGGACGTTTGGAGAAACATAAATAGGGTATAATTTCCCCCAAAAATCCATAAGGGAGAAATACAAACTATCGAGTGGGGCCAGACAGAGTTCTGGGTTCTTCGTGTCCTGGTCCTTGGACTTGGGCTCCCGAGGCGGGTCGTCGGACGCGGCGGGAGGTGAGACCGAATCTCTTTCCCTCCCTCCCTCCCTTCCTCCTCTCCCTCCTTCCTCCTCTGTCTCTATGGGCAATTCTAGACTCGGCCGCCAGGGGGCGCGGGCGGGCCGCGCTGGAAGGGAAGCCTGCGAGGTGAGGTAGGTGAGGTGGGTGGGGTGGGGTGGGGTGGGTGGGGTGGCAGGGAGAGTTGGTGCGAGCCTGAGGTCTGGGCGGCGACGCGCGCGGGGGCGAGTGCGTCAGGCTGTGCGTCTGCGCTGCTCCGTGACGCGGGCGCCGGGTGTTCGCCCCGAGGTTGCGCGGGTGCCTGCCAGGGGCTGGACGCTGCCCTGGGGTCTGGGCTGCGCCCAGGTGGGCAGTTTCCGATCCAGCTGTTGGCCAGACGACCATATGCTGCAGGAGGGGTGTGTGTGTGTGTGTGTGTGTGTGTGTGTGTGTGTGTGTGTGTGGTCGGGACACAGTGGGGAGGCAAAAGAGCTGAGATCCAAATTCGAATGAAGAGTCCGGCTGGGATTTGGGGTGGAGACCCTTCGTGGGAGAAAGGGTACCTTTCTAGTCCTAAATTCCGGTCTGGGCTCTGCTCTCAGAAGCTGTGAGGCACTAGCCAGCCTCTTGCCTCCTGGGTACCTCGGTTTCCCCATTGGAAACAAGGTTAGAGGGCCCAGTGCTCCCCCTCCCCCGCTCCACCCCCGTTCCAGATGTCTGCGAGCAGCTCTCTCAGAAATGGGCACACCCACCAAGACGGCCAGGAGCCAGCTGCCTTGACCTCTCTCAGGGTCCTCGCCTCCCCCAGACCTTGCCCTGGCTCTGGGCATCAAAGTCATAGAGAAAGGGAAGGAGGACCCACTGACAGAGAAGGGGCTGTCAGGCAGCCCTGCCGGGTGTGCTAGAATGGGATTCTGGGGTCCTTGTCCCTATTTTGTGCTATGGACCCTCTCCCGGCCTCCTTTCTCCACCAGGCTGATCCAGCGCCAGTCCCCCAGCTGACATCCCCCCCCCCGCCCCTCCTCTGTCACCTCCTAGCCCCCTTCCTCCCCTCAGCAGCTGGTCCTGTTTGTTTTCCCAGATCAGTTGCGCTTAGAGCTTCCTGAAGGATGGATGCACAGGTGGCTTTGTTTGCCAGCTCAGCACCCTCACTCCCACCTCCTCCCCATCCGCAGCCTCAGCCTTTGGGTGTGGAAGGGGGAAGTTAGGCCAAAAAAAAAAAGTGTCCCCAGATCTACACCTCCAAGAGACCTCAAGCTCTCATAGGGATCTCATTGCCCTCAAAGAACTCCCCATCCCCACCCTCTCCAGCCCTTCATCTCCTATGGGGGACTTCCGGTCCCATAGAGAAATCTCTAGGACTACCCTCCCCATGATTCTACCAAAGCCTGAAACCCACCAGGTACCTTCAGATCCCACAGAGAAACCCTCAGACTCAGTCCTGTGTCCTCAGAACCCGAGACCCTCAGATCCCGCTCAGGGCCCTTTCCCGTACAGGGACACACAGATCTGATGAAGATCCCTCAACCTGATCCTGGGCTCCCACCCAGGTCTCTATCCCATATAAAGGCGATATCTGAGAATCCCCAGAGACCTCTCCCTCAAGTAGAGCCCCATCCCTGAGCAGCCCGACTTCCCAGTACTGCTGGGCAGCTTAGAAGTGCCCAGTGGCCCATGTCCTCTCCTCAAGCTGGCCGGCTCCCACCTCTTACCCCTCATTTCACTGGGAAATCAGCCAGGGCTTTGGTGACTGAAGATGCAAATTCTGTGAATGGTGCCCTCCCTCCCCCTGGTCTGGTCACCAGCCTCTCCTTTACAGCCTCACTACCCCCCCGCCCCCCCCCCAGGTTCGGAGCCAGGAACGGGCAGATGAGCACCTTCCCTGGGGCTGTGAGGTCTGGTCTCCTGGGAGACAGATAACTGAGAGATCAGCTCAGTTCAGGCAGGGTCCGACAGCTGGCCCCAAAGAGGGGGGTCCTGGGGGGGATGCGGGAGCCCCACTCACACACCCGTTGTCCTCCCCTGCCAGCAGCAGAGCCCCTCTTCTCTGCCTCTCAGTGGGGACGTGGAGCTGGCTCCCATCCAGGGAGATGGGAGGCAGCTTCCACCGCCACACGCTCACCAGACACAAAGCCAGGGGGCTCATGCAGGGCAGCAGGGAGAGGGCAGGCACACGCATGCCTTGGGGCTACAGGCACAGCAGATCCCACACACGGATCCCACACACCGCACGTGAGCACTCTCCTAGGGTTCAATAGGCCCCCAAAGCCACACTCATTTACGGGCAAACGCTTGTTCACTCACTTATTCCTCCAATAATTTAATAAAATGTGCCATGTGCCCCCCTGTGCTGGGTGTTGGGGGTCACACACGGGTATTCCCTTGTGACTTACACTTGCACATATCCCATTCCACGGCCAGTGTCCAAGAGGAGAGAAGGTCGTCTCAGTCACCGGCCCATGAGCATACAGACACTGGAGGGTTAAGAGTGCTCGGGAATCTTGCACCACTGCCTGGGTTCAAATCCAGCTCCACTGCTTCTAAGTTGCACTCTACTCCTCAGTTTTTCCCGCTGGAAAATGGGAACAATAGTCTTAAAAACTGTTGTGAAGATTCGAGAGCATGTAAAACAGAACTGGCCTGCCGAACATGCCCAATAAATGTTAGCCCTTAGTTGTCACAGCGGTTGCGGTCATGAATGGCTTTGCTGCAAGGCTTCCCCCCTGCTCCCCGCACCCCCAGGCCTGGCTGGAATGGAGGCTGGAGTCAGGGCAGCAAGCCTAGCTCTGGGGGCTGCATCCCCCTTCCCACATTGGCCTTGTGGAAGCCTGCCTAGCACTCTGGATGGGGAACCTTCCTGCCTCACCCCATTCAAGCCACTCTGCTCTGGACCTCAGTTTGGGAGGGTCAGAGGGGGCGTATCTCAATTTCCTTTCCTCTGCTCTTCTGGAACAAGCACTTGGGAGCGGAACTGGAGGCTCTTCGGGTTCCCTATGTGCCCTGGGGCAGGTCAGTCCCTCTCTTGAGGGCCCAATTTTGTAGTACAGGCTGATTTTGGAGAGGCCTCCCAAGCCTGACTGCTGTGCTCCTGTGGTGCCTCAGGAAGCCTCCCTGCCCTCCCCACCCAGCCTCTGCACCCACCACCCCCCCTAGCCAGAGTGAGGGGGTGAGTTGCCAAGGTCGCCATGGGGACTAATCTCTGAGAAGGTCAGTGAGGCTCCGGTTCTGCCTTGGCCCGGATGGGGATTAGCACCTGGTTATGAGCCCCCCCACCCCAGTGCCTCCACTCCCGGTCCCCTCCCAGGACCCCTGACTCTCAAGTGGACCCTGGGCAGAGGTTCCACGGCTGGGCCACAACCGGCAGGTGGGTAGCGGGTAGGTCAGCTGCCAAAGCTGTCTGTCTCTACAGCTGTGGCCAAGAGAGAAAAGGGCAGAGATGGGGTCAGATGGTGCCCCTCGTGGCTCAGTGTCCAGCGGGGCCTGAGCCTTGCCCCTCTTCATCATTTGCCCTTTACTGGGGAAAAGATGGGTCTCCCAAGTCAGGCCTATCAGCCCTCCCCGGCTCTGGGGCTCTGGCCGTTAGAAGCCACCTCTCTCTCCTCTCTTGGGAGTGATTTCCTCCAGTGTGGGGCTGGAGGCCCTTTTCACCTGGTGGACCCCTACCTCCCCACATGCTCTGCCTTCCACCTCTGCTTACCCTGACCTTTGACCTGGCATCTTCAAATCTCTCCATCTCTCCCAATTGTACCTTTCTTGCTCTATCAGGGTACTTCGCTCCCTCTCTTGTTTTGGTTTCTCTGGGGTTGTCTTTGTCACTCCCTAGCCCTGGCTTTCACGGGGGCAAGGGGGTGCGCGGGGAGCTGCAGCCTCTCCAGATCCTGAAATCTCCCCTGGGTCTCACATCTTTCTGGGCCTCATCTATCTTTCTGTCCTGCCTGTGTTTTCTGCTCTCTGTCTCCCCTCCCCAAGGCTTCTCTGCGCTTTCCCAGTCCCAGGGCTGCCCGCACTCCAACCGCTCAGTCCCTTATTCCGCTTCCTCCCCTACCTGTCACCTCCCCCGCCTGGGGTGCTGACAGGGATGACAGGAAGCAGGCTCTGGCTGGGAGCTGGAAGGGGGTGGGGGGAGGGGCCCACTCTCGATCGCCAGCTGCTGAGCACCCCCCTCCTCCCCAAGCCCCGCACCTGCAGGCCAGCCTGGCGCCTGGAGTCTCCGCCCCTGGCCGGGCAGGGAGGAGGGCCCTGGACGGGAGAGGCCGGAGTTTGAGCCTAGGCCTCAGTCAGGAAATGCGGGTCTTGGGGACGGGAGGTGGAGGTCTGGAGAAATTAGGACCTGGAGGGAAAAGGCAGTGGTTCTCGGTTGCAAGGGCTGACCCAGCGTCCTGGTGGCTTCATTCTTCCCACCCGCCCCCCAACACACACCAAATGACTGTGTGTGTGTGCGTGTGTGTGTGTGTGTGTGTGTGTGTGTGTGTGGAAGGGGGTCGCTTCAGGGGGAGATCTCTTCATTGTGCGACCCCCAGATCTGAAATCTCAGCCAGAGGTCGGGAGCTCTAACCCCCTTCCACGATTAGGGAGGAGAAGAGGAAGCCCTCAAAGACACAGGGAAGATGTGCCGGTGCCAGGCCAGGCCCCTGACAGGCAAATCTTCAGCAACAGGCAAGGAGCAGAGGACCAGGAGCCTGGTCAGGGAGGGCAGGATGGGGGCTGCACATGCCCCAGCCTGGGGGTCCATGGATGTCCTCCTCCCCAGGGCCGCTGCAGTCCACCCCCTCCCAGAACTTCCTGGAATCTGTCAGAGCCATCTCATCCCCTCCCCCTCCCTTTCTCTGCACAGAGGAATCAGCAGATCCCATAGGGCCTGCGGGTAGTTGAGCGGGGGTGACAGTGGAGGGGGGGCAGGTAGAAAGGACAAGCCAGCCCCTCCAGGAACATCCAGAACGGAGCTGGAAGGACCTGTGGCTCCTGACCTTTGTTCTCTCTCCCCAGGGGCTACCTCTGCCTGGGTGTGTGTGGGGGTACAATCCCATGTAGCCCCAGGATGCTTCCTCACTCCGAGGGGAAACTGTGGCTCCTTACCGCTGTCCAAGAGGCTTCCCTCCACTTACGACCTACAACGGGCCCCTCTGTCTGGGGCAAGACTGGCACCACCACCAATTTTGAGGAGGAGGAATGGAGGACACCGGGAGTCAGAGGACAGAGGGACTCGGTTGGTCGGACTGACCTACCACTGTGTGTGGAACTCTCAGTTCTAGACTCAGCAGGCAGGAGGCCAGGGTCTAGGGCACTCTCCGCCTCCTCCCCCATGTCAGATCTTAGCACTTTGAATCACTGCAGAAGGGCACCCGGCTGTCTCAGGTGTGGGTGGTGGCTAATGACCCGTGGACTCCTGCCTAAGATGAGGGTCATTCGGACCCACCCTCACCCGACCCGCAGCTGCGTGCAACAGGAGGCCTTGGGATTATGGAGTTCTGGAAAGGTGGCGAGCTGCGGTCCCTGGGGATCCCGTCTGGCAAGGGCTAGGGGACCCCATGTTTGTCCTTTTCAATCAGTCACTCAGTCTATCTCACACATGGGAAGACTGAAAGAGGGCCCGGGGAGATGGCAGGGAGTGAACCCTCAGGATGTCAGCACCAAACAGATTTGGAGGAACACACTGGATCTTCACCTGGCTCTAGCTCCTTCTACCCAGATTTTCCACACTTCACAGCTACTGCTCCAGCCCCTTGAGGGTCTCCAACTTCCCAGGGCAGGTGGCTCAGAATTATTGCTAGAAGCCCAGAAGCCAGGATTTGGGGACTGGTGAGGCCCTCGCTGGGAGGCCAGACCAACCCCTCTCATTGAGCAAACAGGAAAACCCAGGAGAGGCTGGGAAATGACTTGCCCAAGGCCACAGAAGTCGCTGGGACAGAGCGGGACTAGCAGCCGGGTTTCCACCTCCAGAAGGGCTCCTGTTTCGGCCACAGCCCCTTATGCCACCCGGTGGAGCCTGCTCAGCCGGCCCATATTACCCGGAATCAAGCCGGGCACCCTGGCGTTGCGGGCGGGACGAGGCAGGGCGGGCGGGGCCGGATGGGAGCCGGATCTCCCCGGGAGCGGCGCGCGGCCTCTCCGACCCGTCTGGCGGCGGCGGCGGCGGCGGCGGCAGGTGCCTGCGTGGCGGTCGGGCCCGGCCCCCGGGCGGGTGCTGAGAGGCCACCCCTGCCTCACGCGAGCCGAACGAACAAAACGCTCAGGTCCGGTTTGTGCGAGGGGCTCGTCGCGGGGCGGGAGCGGAGGGCCCGGGGCCTGGCTGGCGCCCTCGGCGAGCTCCTGGTCCTGGTCTTCTGCGAGCGCAGTGGCCCCCAGCGCGCCGCTAGCCGCCGCCCTCACCTGCGCGCATCTGCGGCTGACACGTCGCCGGCCGAGGAGGCCACCCAGGTGCGCACCCGGCCCGCCCCTCCCTTCCTCCCTCCCTCCCTCCTGGCCACCCTTCACCTGGCCCGGCCCTGCTTGGCTTGGCCCCCAGCCCACTCCCCCGAGCTTGTGCGGGAGCCCGGGCTCAGCACGCTTTTATACCGCCTGCTCAGTCCCCGCCCCTAGACACACACGCACACGCACACACACACTCACACCTGTCCCGGGCGCCTGTTTGCTCGGAGCAAATATTGACTCAGAGGAGGCGGAGCGCCCCCACCCCCTCTCCGCCCCCGCCTGGGCTCTGGGGCCGGAGCTCTTCCCAGGCCTTGGCCGCGGGGGTGGAGGGGGGGTGTCGGGGACCTGGGCGCCTCTGGAACAACACCAGATGTCACTTTTCCACCCACCTGCCTGGAGGGGGGGGGAAGAGCAGAGGACAGAGGCTGCCGGGAGGAGGTTAGCGGGGAGAGAGAGGTGGGTCTCCTAGGGAAGGTGGGACATCACTTGGGCTGGGGATTCAGATTCACGATGGGGGTCGCTTAGTAGGGCCTGTGGCCCGCTGTCTAGCTGTGACCTCCACCCACGTCCCAGCGTCTAGCCCTTAGCCCTCCACGACGTGCCCCGGTTTTCCTCCCCGCTCAACCTCTTAGCACAGTACCGAGAACCCGACAGATGCTGAGAAAAGGCTGGTGATGGAGGGACCGAGCCTCGGAGCAGGCGCAATGGGGAAAGGGGAGGGGTGGTCACCTCACCCTGCAGCCACCTGCTGCGCCGATTAGACTTGGCGCTCAGTTCCCGTCCGCCGGGCTGCGCTGGGGCAAAGGCCGCTTAGGCCCCACCCGAAGCGCCCTCCACTGGCCGAACCAGGTCGGCGCCCGGAGTGAGCGGCAGGAGCCCAGGCCCCGCGGCCGCGTGGACGGGAGAGACGCACCCTCCCAGCACCCAAGTCTGCAACGAGTCGCTGCAGTTCGCCTCGGCCGCTCCCACCATCTGTCCCTCCCAGAGCGCGCGCAAGAATTCCTCCTGCGTCGGGGAAACAAAGTCAAGGCAGATACAGAAGGCCGGATGCTTTACTGGCGGGGCGGCGGGGAGGGGGCCCGTAGGGCAGCAAGTCGGAGGGGTTGGGCTCTGGCGTCCTCAAAGAGTCGCAGGGGGCGGCACCGCCGGGCGGGGCACCTCTGCTTGCTGCAGCCCGAGGGGCGCCGCGGGCAGCGAGTCGGGAGTCTCAACCCTGGAAGACAGAAAGCCCCAGAGGGAGGTCGGGGGCAGGCCCGGGGCCAAGCCTGCCCGCCCCGCCGCCCCTCGCGCCCCTCCGGCGCGGGGGGCGCCCCCACCTGGAAACGCTGAGCGGCGGCAGGGCGATGACGCGCGGCCGCGAGGTGAGCACCACCTCCCCGCGGCTCGCCTCCACCAGGATGTTCTGGATCATGTTCTCGAGCAGCGCCTCCTGCAGGTTGGCGAACGCCGGGAGCCTGCGGCGGCGGGAGGGGGCGGTGGTGGGTGGCAGCGACGCCGTCGACGGCGCTCCGCGTTCTCCGCGGGCCTCTTGCGTGCTGCACACCGCGCGCCCTGTGCTCTGCGCGGGTTCCCGGGTCGCTCCCTGCCCTCCCAACCCTAGAAGCCATCCTTGTTCCAATTTTACAGACGCTCGTATGTGGCTGAAGGGGACCAAGTTGCCGAGCCGTCCGCTGCTGGAACAAGCGGTGGGATCCGAACCCGCGCAAGTGTAGGCCCATCTCGGGGCCGGGTGTGGGGAGAGGCATCAGGCTGAGACGAAGGGGGTGGTGGGGCCTAAGGAATCCCCACACGGGCAGGGAGGGCCCGGGAGCAGCCCCAGGGAAAGGCCCTCCAAGAAGCGGGGGTGCTGACTACCCTCTGGAAGTGGTGTGCTAGTGACTGCTCGGAGCCGGGTCTTGGAGGGAAACACTACAGCTCGGATCGCCTCCCGCGAACACTCCCCGTGAAGGCCTTAAGCCACCAGTGGGGACGCCGGTGAACGCTGAGCTGGGAAGGGCCTTGCCCAGGTGAGCCCAGCACACCCCTGCCTCCAGGGATCCTTCCGCAGGCTGCTCACCGGCTGATGGTCTCCTTCTCGTCCTGCTCCTGCTCCTCCTTCACTATGACCTTCAGCTGCTGCTGCCACTGCCATTTCAGCGACTCCTGGGACGCAGGCTGCAGCATGGGCTCAATCCCCATCCAGGGCACCTTCTCTTCCTTCCCTTCCAGCTCCTCCTCCTCCAGCTCCCCCTTGCCTGTCTCCTCCTCTTCCATCTCCTCCTCTTCCTCCTCTTCCTCCTCCAGCTCCTCCTCTTCCTCTTCCTCTTCGCTCTTCTCCTCCTCCTCCCCCACTTTCTTTCCCAGCCTCAGTTTGTCCTCCTCTGGCTCCTTGCCTTTGCTGGCCTCCCAGCTGCTAGAGGATGGAGACAGGACTGGTGCTAAGTGCAGGGTGTTGTTCTGAGCCACGAACCTGGCTGACTGCTCATTCCAGAACTGGGAGAAGTAAGGCATCTTCTCCACCAGGCTTTGGTCCACGGCCTCATGGAAGATCTTGTCTTCTAGCAGACCCCTGTATGGCAGGGAGGAGGAAGAGGAGGTCCCTGCTGGGAGGCCTTGCAAGGGGTCCTTGGGCCCCCCCTTTGGGACTCTGGCTTCAGTGTTCTCCAAGGGGCAGTTCCTGTCCACTCTGTCTACAAATGGGTGCTTGGACTAACGAGCCCTTAGTCAGCTGCCCTGCCCACCCCTTCTTTAGAGGCATCTCTGGGCCCCATGGGTCCTTAGAGGTAGAACCAAGAGGTCAGAGTTACACAGATAAGCAACAGGAGGCCTGGGGAGACAGTGAACTGGCTCAGACCTTATCTACTAGCCCTGGACAGGACAGACCTCAGGATCCTTCTAGCCAGCTCCATCAGAGCTGCCCCATCCTGCAGGGCCTGGGGCCACCAGTGAAAGGATCTTGTAAGGAAGTTCTGTTTTTCAGGGCTGGGATTTCAGGGACCATGGGTGGACAC